CTTTCCCTTCACTCACTGGCATATTCAGTGAATTAATGTGACTACACTTTTCTCTAATACACCAGCCGGGCCGGAGATGGGAGCGAGCTGCTTTAACAGTCTGCTGGACAGCGCAAGATGCAAGACGCCTTCTCCCTCTAGTCCTCAGAGGTGAAGGGGGAGGCTGACATTAAGGGAGAGACACATCTAGAAGTGCAGTGTGCAAAATGGCAGCCACTAGTCACACGTGGTTACTGAATGCCTGAGCTGTAGCTAGTCCAGACTGAGGTGTGCTATGAAGTAAAATATATATCAGAGTTCAAAGACTGTATGGGGCTGGTAGGTGGCATGATGGTTAAGGCAATAGACTCCCACATGGCCGACTGTGATTCGAGTCCTGGACCTGGAGACTTGCTTTCTCACTTTCCCTTTCTCGCTCTCTGTCTCTCTGGTTAAAATTTAAAAATAATGATAATAACAAATAAAGTTAAATAAATAAATATGTCCTTAAAAAAGACAGTATAAAAAATAATGTAAATAATTATCTCAATTTTTTTTGAGAGATTTTTTTTTGTGTGTGTGTTTCGTTTGTTTGTTTTTTGGCTATAGGACACATGCACTTGCCAGAAAGACAGAGAGACAGAAAGTGAGAAATCACCCCCCCCAGGGGAGATGACCATGCCACAATCCCTTCTCCTCCATTCTCCTCTCGGGATCTTGGGCACGCACACACATGCACCTGGCATGAGTTTAAGCCACTGGGTCCAGGACTCAAACCCGGTCGACTACATGGGAGTCCAGCAACATAGCCATTATGCCAACTGCTGGTCCCACTATCTCAATTTTTATATTGACATATGCTGAAAGATTTGGCTATGATAGGTTTAATAAAATATATCACTACACCCAATTTTATCTGATTATTTTTCAATTTTTTAAAGTTCATTTATTGCATTTTTGCCATGAGATAGAGAGAGAGAGGCAGAATGACAGAGAGAGACACTCCAAGACTGTCACACTGTGATTCCCTCTGCTTCAGTCAGCCCAGATCACAGTGTGTACAGGGAGGCTCCAGGCTGTGAACCTAGGACCTTCCCATATAGCCTGACATCACTGATAATTGTTACCACTGCGTCACCATCTGACCTAATTCTTTTAACATGTTAATGTTGCTGCTAGGAGATTTATACATGTGGTTCTAATCTGTAGTCATGTTACATTGACATTGGACAACGCTGGCCCAGAAACTCAAGTTTATCTGGATCCTTTGAAAAGACAAAATGGAATATATGGAAATGCAGTCAGGTTCACAGAGTAAATCACCTTATTTCCTGCGAGGGGGCCTTGACTCACAGGGAGAGAAAGAGACTGGGACCGTCTCTCCTTTCACAGTTGGTCTACCCAGACCAACCTGCTTCTCGGGTCAAACTAAATGCTCTTTTGCAATGGTCTGTTTTAGGTAATTCCAAGAAAATCCCTACTGGGTATTTGTCAAAGCCTGTGTACCAGGGTCAGGCAGACCTGGGTTTGAATCCAATCTTTGTCATTTACTACCCAAGTAACCTCAGGGAAATTATTTAGTACATTGAAGCCAAATCCTTAGACTCTGTTTATTCCACACAGTGCAACACTGCCCTCTAGTGGCAAAGAGGTGGAGATGCTGTTGGAGAAAGAGGCAAGGAAGGAAGGAAAAAACGTCAATTTTCTTGGCCACTGCAGTAAGTTCTCCAGATTATATCAAAGAACAGTGTTTACTCCTGAGTCACCTTGAAAGCAGTGACCTGGAATTAGAAGAGCAATTAGATGATCAAGATTTACTATTAACCTAGAGGTTGTCGCTTTGTTCATTATACGGCGTCTCTAGGAAAAACAGTAATTCTCTTTGAACGCATGGACTGTGACAGGGAAGAGGAGGAAGCCTGGCGTGCCTGGTCACTAGGCTTTATCGTGCTGGCGTGAGCTTCACCCACAGCGTACTCTGAACATTCCTTTGCATCTGAGCCCTCTCCTTGCGGAGCACCTCAGGGAAGCTCAGTCCCCAGGCTATGGCGGGCGTTTTTACTGAGCGCGAACACAGACATGTGTAGTATCCAAGATGCACACCATATTCGCTGCTACTGTTTTTGAGGTTTCTGTTCTTCCAACTGCACAGGCCCATGGAAGAAAAATGATCTGATGCAATAAACTCCTTTCACATTTTGGCTTAAAAATAAAGCCTATGTAATCTAATTTCCTGATGTCTCTACCTACCAAACAGATCATTTAAAAAGAATACATTAGCATAACTTTGATGTCTCTGAGATGAAGATGCTGAGTGATGCTCAGGAATAGTTTAAAATTCAGAAACTGATCTTTACCAGGCACACAGAGGACGCTGTAACCGAAGCCACCTGCAAAGACGGGAGGTGTTATCATGCCAACCCGAAATCTAACATGGGCATTCTAGGCAAAGTCTCTGCCCACCTTCATTCTCTTCAATTAACTTGGATGAAAATCCCGGTACTTTCAATGTAAAGGATTATGATTTTCCTCACTTGATTTTCATTTTTATTACAGTGATCTTCTGTCCAAACATTTGTTTGTTTGATTCGTTTTAAGAGGTTTTTGCCTTAGAGTACGTGCGCTCACCAGAGAGAGAAAGACGGAGACAGTAAGAGGGAAAGTGAGAAATCATTCCCATGAGGGGATGGCCACGCTGCAATCCCTTCTCCTCTATTCTCCTCCCAGGATTTTGGGCACGTATGTACACGCATGTACATCATTTTGAAGACACTGGGTCTGGGACTCGAACTGTGATCGGCCATGTGCGAGCCCAGTGATGTAACTGCTGTGTCATCTGCTGGCCCCGAGCATTAGTTATGTAATGATCACTGGGTAAGTATGTGGCCCGTGAAGCCAGTTCCAGACACCTACATGTGCTTCCTAGCCTCTGGCCGTTCTTATCTCAATATCCCAAAGTCACTTCAATGTCCTGAAAGGGACCGGGGCAAGGCTGCGTGCTTCCTGATGTCGGGGCTGTGTGCTGGAGAAGAGCCGGAACAGCGCGTGTCAGGGCTCCCACAGTGCCACCTGTGCAGCAGGAAGAGTCGGTGCCACCCACCTTGTCGTGATACGGTCCTAGGACGATCCAGCCGCAGAATGTGTAGCCCAGGTAGATCATCCCGGCGCAAGCACAGAACCGGAGGACTTTGGGCAGTGAGGCTTGCATGGTTAAGATGAGCACCTGGGGGCGGGGGGTGAGGAGAGCAGAAGGCGGAAATGAAAAAGCTGTGACTAGAACCCAAGGACGAAATGAATCTCAATCAACCCTATGGCTCGATGACACATCCTTACATTATATGCTTGGAAATAACCCAGGTATCTGATGACTCCGACCCAAACCAAGAGTGTAGACGTCCCAAGGAAAATGCTGCACAGATCATAATTCGTGAGATTCTAAAGAACAAAGGGGGAAATAGACAGGTGAGTCAATACTCCACTCAGCTTTTTTTTTTTTTTAAAATGGGGGAGAGGTTTTGCTATAGGGCGCGTGTGCTTGCCAGAAAGACAGAGAGAGACAGAGAGAGAGAAAGCGAGAAATCACCCCCCGGGGGATGGCCATACCACAATCCCTTTTCCTCCAGTCTCCTCTTGGGATCCTGGGCACGCACGCACACGCACCGAGTGAGTTTAAGCCACCGGGTCCAAGACTCGAACCATGATCCACTACATGGGAGTCCAGTGACAGCCATTATGCCAACTGCTGGTCCCCACTCAGCTTCTTAACCTCACTTTGAAATGATTGGAAAAGAAGGGGCCATCTGTCTCCCTGTAGGTGATCCTCTGAGCTTTTACAAAGAAAGACCAAGAAGAAAAGTAAAGAACACAATTCCAAATGTGTTTATTTCCTTTTAGTATTTCAAGTGGCTAAACTGTTTTTTCCCCAAATAATATCCTGAAACAGAAACTGTATTTACTACTGATCTAGGCAATAAAGAATATAAACTGGGACCAGTAGATGGCATAATGGTTATGTCACTGGACTCCCAGGTAGTCATCTGCGGTTGAATCCCAGATCCGGTGACTTAAACTCATGCTGGATGCGTGTGCGTGCATGCCCAAGATCCTGAGAGGATATTGGATGAGAAGGGATTGCGGCATGGCCATCCCCCCTGGGGGGTGATTTCTTGCTGTCTGTCTCTCCAGCAAACACATGTACCCTATAGCAATCTCTCAAAAACACCACCACCACAAAAAAAAAAGAAAAAGAAAAAGAAAAAATAGAACGCAAACTAATAGTGTTTGTTAAATATTAAATAACACCGTTGGGCTCCTTTGCAAGGAAAGCTCCAATGTGCTTTATTAACACAGCTCCTGCTCTCAAGGAATTTGAGGTCTAGCTGAGGAGACAAACACATGACTCCAATACAACATGCTCGTGCGATGAGACACAGCGAGCTCGTCAGAGGACGTACGGGGGAGGGGGCCCTGGTGTGGCGCTGTGGCTGCAGGACAGGTTGGGAGAATGTACCCAGGTGGATGGACAGGGGCTGAGCAAGGACACACGGATACAATGCTGAGAACTGGCATGACGGCCTGGGGGACATGATCAGAGCCTGGGGGCCGGGGGTTACAGGCAAAGCAGGGTGAGCCACACAGAGCCGGCCCTTGCCGAGGGCAGGGTGCTTTACCCCGCGGCAGGCCCAGGAGGCAGGAGAGACAGGTAACAGCAGGACAGACCCTTCAGGAGAACTACTCACAGCTGTGTGGACGCGTCTGCAGGACGGAAGGTTGAGACGGAAAACCAGTGAGGAAGCTGCTGCAGTGGTGAGGCCAGAGAGGGAGGAGGCCTGAAGGAGGCAGGGTTGGGGGCAGGGAGACAGGCACCTCAGAGGTTGGGAGGAAAAGTCCCCGAGACTTGCAGACAGAACAGCGTGGAGGGGAGACCAGCTGGGGGAAGGAGGAGTGGAGGCTTAGTTGCGGGGTGCAGCGATCTCATCTCTACAGTGTCAGGCCTTGGTGCGAGCTCGGCACTCCTGCCCCACCCCTGTCTGTCGGCGCACACAAGTTGTCACTACACAGCTCTTGACACGCACGACCAGGGGAAGTGACTGCTTTGTGGGTCACCTACTCCTCTGGCAGCTTCATTTAAAAACAAAAAAGAAAAAAAAAAGAAACCCAAACAATCAGTCTTCTCAGATATCAGGTACAATTCTGGAGACCCTGCCGCTTTCCCGAGGGATAATCACGCGAGGGCCGCTGTCCTCCGTGTCGGCCTCCTTGCCACCCTTCACAGCTGGGTCAGAGAAGGCCCCGCATGCACGTGTGAGGGCAGAGAAACGTCAGACGCGGCGGGTCTGCGGGACGCGAACCTACGATGCCAGAGCCCCCGGAAGAACAGAAAGGACCGAAGGCTTTCCGCGGGTCGCCCTTCACCTTTGCTTTGATCTCCATCTTTAATATGGACCCAATTATGGTCATCAGGTCGCTGAGGATCACCAGGACGTACCACCCGTTGATGAATTCCCACCGGTCAGCATCGCACACACGCCGCTGGTACTTCTCCAGGAAGAAATTGAGAAACCTCTATGGCAAACGTAAAAAAAGCATCTGTACACACCCCAGTGCCCTCTGTGCACACCCCAGTGCCCTCGTGCACACCCTGTGCCCCCTGTGCACACCCCAGTGCCCCCTGTGCACACCCCAGTGCCCTCTGTGCACAGCCCAGTGCCCTCTGTGCACACCCCCGTGCCCCCGTGCACACTCAGTGCCCCCTGTGCACACCCCAGTGCCCCCTGTGCACACCCCAGTGCCCTCTGTGCACAGCCCAGTGCCCTCTGTGCACACCCCCGTGCCCCCGTGCACACTCAGTGCCCCCTGTGCACACCCCAGTGCCCCCTGTGCACACCCCAGTGCCCTCTGTGCACAGCCCAGTGCCCTCTGTGCACACGCCCTTCTGGCCCCCCCCCCTGCCCCCGTGCACACCCAGTGCCCCCTGGACACACCCCAGTGCCCTCTGTACACACCCCAGTGCCCCCTGTGCACACCCCCGTGCCCCCTGTGCACACCCCAGTGCCCCCTGTGCACACCCCAGTGCCCTCTGTACACACCCCCGTGCCCTCTGTGCACACCCCCCTGCCCTCTGTGCACACCCCAGTGCCCTCTGTGCACACCCCAGTGCCTTCGGGAAGGAGAGGACAGTGAAAACGAGTGTCTGGCCTGTCAGATGATGTGGTGTTGCCCCTCCCGACTACGCAGGTCCACTCCGAGGGTGGAGATCACAGCTCACACGTCCCCCAGCCTACCCAGCCGGAGGCAAACAGCCAGCTCAACCCACTCAGACTTTCCAGGCGACACTGCCTCCAACACACCCTCGTTGTCACAGCCAACACCCGCACCGTCCACAGCCTTCACACTGAGGGGCCTTCAACAAGTTCACGGAAAGCATGTATTAGGAAAAATAAAGCCCAGATTTCAAAAATGCTGTGGGCCAAAATAAACGAGTACTTTACATCCATTTGCCCACAACGTTTTGGAAGGCCCTTAGAGTCAGTTCCTTCAGGCCGAGAGAATTCTCTGAACTAAGTGCTATTAGCTCACCCATCCCAGCGAGGAAACTGAGACACACAGTGTCTGGGCCAGGCAGGCCCGCTCCAGGGTGTGTGCTGTCTATGTTGTGCCCGCCCCCAGAGACAGGACCCTAACCTTAAATTCAGAACACCCAGGGCGTGGGGGTGGGGCAGGGAAGAGATAGTTACAGAGCTCATCGGCCAAGCTCAAGGTTCTGGACAGCACAATGAGGGCTACTTCCTTGCTCCACAAATGGCATTCCAGGGGCCTCCCATGTCCCCTGATTTCAGTGTGAAATTACACACATTCCACAAGCCAGAATAAGATTTGTGGGAGGTTCGGTATATATTCATAAGAAGATAAAAAGGGAAAAATGGAACTCGGGAGAATTTTTTTTTAACTACTTTAGAAATAGAATCATGTATCTGAGGCTTTATTATAACCTGTTTGCCAATCCTCCCTGTTAAAATGTACTCTGATCTGAAGACGAGAGATGAGACCCACACGTGCTATCAACCTGTCCTTCAGATCACTCCGGGATCTAAGAGGGCCTCGTTTACTCAGGAAATATTCAGGAGGCTGAGTGTTCACCCCCGCTCGCCTGCACTTATGAGCGTGGTTTCAAGCCGGATAATTGTCTGATCCCACCGGAGCACTGCCCACTGCCTGCCTCTCCGCTGGCTGGCACGGCACGGGGCAATCACTCCAAGGATCTCTTGTAGCTGAGGGGCTCCAGAAGGGCAGAAGGGCACAGCAGACATCAGGGGTCCACTGTTCGGGCAATCTGGGGGTGCAGGCCATGAGGTGCGAGAGGAAACCTGATACGCACTGACCTTCCGTAACCTGAGGGCGAGGACGACGGATCTGCTGCACAGAACGAGCGACGCCAAGCAAATGACGATGACGAAAGCATCAAACGCCAGGACGTACTGGGTCTGTTTCTGAGCTGAGAAACAAGAACAGACGTCAAAGTTAGACACACCTTACTTGAGAACTTCCCAAAAAACGGCCGTCTGAAAAGAAGTTCGAAGGATGAATGTTTCGCCTGTTCTTAAAACGGTACCTGTCAGAGACAAATCACATTGCGTTCACTCGGAAGGCCACAAAGGAGGTAAAACACTCCCGGAGGTGAAGAGCTATCCACTTAAACACATGACCTGCTAATAAACACGCTGACATTTATTTATCAGTATTAATTATGGAACAGACTTTAACAGAAGGGGATCCATCTGTACTCTCTTCAAAACGGCAAAGCCACTGGCCAAGTGCGTCCTTTCACGTGAAAGCACAGATGTCAAGCTCGCCATGAATGACCGAACAAATGACATCACTCAATCCCCATTTCTGCTTCCCAGCCGCACGGCGCTCTCCCAGCGAAGGGTGCATATTCGATCCGCTTTCCTGCGCACGGAGACTTCCTGGAATGGAAGTGAGGAGGAGCGTGGCCATCAGAGTTCTGGTGCAGCAGGCGCGTGTCCCTCAGGGAGATGAAGGAGCAGCCTCAGCGGCTCTCAGCCTTCCTGGCAGCCTCCCAGATTCCAGCCTGGACTCCGCAGCCTGGCCCCACCTTCTCTCCCGGCAGCCATCCTGATCCTCCTTCCCTGCCCTCACCTCGGGGAGCTCACACCTACCAGGCTGTCTGCCTGAACCGCCCCCATGCACATGCACACACACACACACACACACACACACTCAGACTGTTCAGAGTCAGCCTGAGCTGTCAGATGAAAATCCCCCAGCTAGGACCGTCTCCTAAATTCCTAAGTTCCCATCCGGATTAGCCCCCATCACGGCGCTCTCTCTCACTACCCGACCAGAGTTCCTCCTGCTCGCCCCTGCGGGATGGCCACTGCGCCTCTAATTACATCTTCGAGGACAGCACAGCGAGGAGCACAGAGCAAAGTGGAGGACGCGGGCTCTGGGGCCTGCCAGTCTGGGTCTGAATCTGTTTGCACTCCGAAGCCACAGAGCCTTGGGGAAGCTGCTTAGCCCCTATGCCTCCGTTTTCTCATTTGAAAAAAGGGTAGGATAAAAACACCTATATTGTGGGGCTAGCATGAGGGTGATATAAATTCGTGTGTGAAAGGCACGTGGAACAGTCATGGGAAAACACCAGCAGCAAACACGGCGGTCACCATCTTATTCAATGTCCGTCTTCCCTGCTAAGTGATGCTGCGTACATCGGGGCCCGTAAGTAGTGCTTAACACAACATAGCACCTGGCTCAGCATACGCTTCAGCATGCTCACTAACACACAAAAATAGTCAAGGACAGGGCCGGCAGGTGGTGTGGAGGTTGGGCGCTGGACTCCCACATGGCTGACCGCGGTTCAAGTCCCAGACCTGTCTTGCTTTCTTCACCTCCCTTCTCTCTCCCTCTGTTGCTCTGTGGTCAAATAAAAAAAATACTAATAATAATGAATGACATGAACTAATTCTTTAAAAAAATAATCAAGGACATGAGAAGAACACCGAATAACCTACGTTAAATGAAGGCCTAAGCTAAGTGAGAAGTAGAGGGAATTGAGAACGTACAGAATTGTGAGACACAGAGGAAAGGAGTCACGCCAGGTGTCCAGCGGGACCCAGGGGAAAGGGGGAAGCTGAGCAGGAAGGATCCTAGTTACCGCCTTGGGTGAACTGTGTTCAGTGTGGACTGTCACGACTTAGTGGCAATGGGAGCCATGAGTGCGGACGGCCGCTCAGAGACCACAGAAAGACAAACAGACTATGGAGACAGCAGAAACCGGGGAGGCAGCAGTGCTCGAGAATGAGCAGGGCGTTGAGCTCAGGAACTAGCTCACGAGGAGGAGGAAACAGGCCTGGGGTAGGCACCCTTCAGGGCAGTGTCTGCGGTCGGTCGGAGGGCCCCACAGTGGCCCCTCTGCCGAGAAGCACTTCTGAGAAAGACTGGCACATCCTGGAATTCGGTAAACCAGTGGGTGAGGAGTGCCGCCAGCCAGCGGGATCACTGAGCGGGTAGTGTGACCTGGCTAAGGCTCAGAGTCGCGTGTGGGGAGAGCGGGCACCTGCTGCCCGGGGCTGGCCCGAGCCTCAGGTGAGCGGATCTACACAACGCGCGTGTTGGATGAATCCACCTCGGTGAAGCACCTAGTGCTGCCACTTGCCTTCAGCTACTTAATACTCCACGGATGTAAGTCACTGGAGACACCTTCTAATGGGTGAGAAAACAACTTAACCCTCTCAGAATGCAAGATTTCATGTTATTATTTTTAGAGAGATTTTTGCTGCAGGGCATGTGCACTCTCTGGAGAGAGACAGAAAGCGAGAAATCACCCTCCAGGGGGGATGGCCAGGCCACAATCCCTTCTCCTCCATTCTCCTCTCGGGATCTTGGGCACGCACGCACACACACAAGCACACACACCTGGCATGAGTTTAAAGCTGCCGGGTCCAAGATTCAAACCAGGGTCGACTACGAGGGAGTCTGACAACGTAACCATTATGCCATCTGCTGGTCCCTTTTTAAAAATTATTATTCTTTGTTTATCTTGGACTCGCAGCATGAAGGCAGAGGACAAACAGTGGCAGTTCTCGGGAGGATGGGACTGAAAATCTTATGAAATGCAGGGACAGCATCTGGTACCTTCCTTTTTAACCTATAATAGAAAATCCCGAAGTTTAAGAGCGTCTCTAATGGGACTTATCTACAAATGGAAAACAAATGGACCTAGAAAAACAACCCATTCCCCTAACAGAATCCAGTACAATATGCTGTTTTTCTTTGAGTTACTGAGAAAACCAGTTCAGTATGAGTTATTAAGAAGACTAGTTCAGCCCGTGGGGCCTCGCTTCCAAGAGGACCAAGAGAAGAAGCAACAGCCATGCCAAAAGGGGGCCGCAGCCGGGGCCTGCAGATGGCATAGTGGTCACGTTGCTGGACTCCCACACAGCAGAGTGCAGTTCAAGTCCCAGACCTGGAGGCTTGGAGCTCACGCCAGACACGTGTGCATGCATGTCCAAGATCCCGGGAGGAGAAAAGAGGAGAGGGGATTGTGGCATGAATATCCCTCCAGGGAGTGGGGGATGGGGAGGTGATTTCTCACTTTGCTTCTCACCATCTCTCTCTCTCTCTCTCTGACAAGCACACGTACCCTAAGGTAAAAAATTCTTAAAAAAAAAAGAAGGGGGGGACAGCCACATCGGCCTATTCACTGCTGAGCGGTGTCGTGTGCTAGGCCAAGGACAAGGCTATGGAGTTCGCCACTGGAAACAGGCCTGTCAGGGCCATCCCCGAAGCGGTGCCTGCGGAGCCCACGTGCTCCCCACGCTGTATGCGCAGCCATCACGGTGTGAACTGTGCCATTCACAGCAGGTAGTCAGGAACCCATGTCCTGCACCTGGGAAGGACCCGCCATCCCCACCCCGATTTAGACCTGCAGGTGCTGCTCCATGGAAGGAGCTGAGTCTTTAAGGACTGAAGAACTGTCCTCTGGGAAAAAATAAAATGCAAATTATACAGTTTTAAAAAGAGACTAGTTCAGTATCTTTTTAAAAAAAACTCACTGAACATTGTCATTGCTTTTTTATTCACGGGAACTGTTACCCCACAGGAACGTTCCTCAAACCTGGGTCTGTAGAATACTAGTCCAGAGGAATGCTCCAGCCGACTGGTCAGGGCAGTCCTGCGCCGGCCTCGTCCTTCCAGAGGCTGAGAAATCCTACACACCCCCACCAGAGCCTCCTGTGAGACTCCAACCTGGGGCTCCCCAACTCACTGTTTACACTGAAGGCGGGAACCCTGCCACTGATTCCTCCCGGCCCCTCGACCACAAGTGCTCCATTTAGAAAGTCAGGGCGAATGAAACGTGGGGGACGAGCCTCAGAAGTCATAAAAGCCAACAGAGCTTTGTGTGTGGAGATGGACAACCTCTCTATCTCGCCAGGAGATAATGAGGGTGATGGCAAGACGGAGGGAGAAGCCGAGCAGAGAACTGCGCAAATAGCACAAGGACCCCGCCAGAGGTCGCCCTTGCTCTGATCCCACTTCCCCCAAAGCCAGAGCACTTACCACCGACAGTTCCTCATGGGGAAAACAATCCATTTCCTAAGCAGGTTTCCAGACTCCAGATTTTTTAGGGCTTTCACACCACATCATTTTATTTTGAATTCATATTCCCCTAGTGACGGAATCTGGTTTCTTGGGACACACAGCTCTAGGAGAAGCCTATGTAAATGTTCATGTTTTACTGAGCCGTCTGTGAGGGTTGTGTTTCTCTTCACTGGCCACAGGAGGGAGCCAGAGCGCCTCTTGTAGGAGCACAGGTAAAAAAGCAAAACCAAAAACCCAACAGAAAAAAACAAAAACAAACCCCCCTCAGACCAGCTAATAGAGGTGGTTAAAGCTGTTGGGTCCCACATAGCTGACTGCACAGTTCAAGTCTCAGACACGGGAGCTTGAAAAACATGCTGGGTGAGTGGGCATGTGAGCCTAAAATCCCAAAAAGAAGGAGAGATGGCGAAGGGAATACAGTGACTATTTTTGAGGGGAGGGATGCCTTCTCTTCTCTCCTTGTCTCTCTGTAGTGAGTGCATGCGCCCTCCGACAATAAGTAAATAAGCAAATAAATGTATGTTCCAAGAAATGACTTAGTAATGACATGTGTAGAGGCTGCTCTCTGGTCCTGGAAGGCTTAATCCTTCTCCACTGTTCGAAGCTCACATCAAACATATTTTATCCAAAAATCATTTCTAGTTTTATTTTTCATTCTACCCAAGTCAAATTTAACCTTTGCTTGCTTTCTCCTCATACTTTTTATGTATCCACTGCTTATTCCTATTTATAACACATTAGAAATTTTAAAAGCAGGACCGGCAGTTGGCATAATGGCTATGTTGCTGGATTCCCATATAGTTGACTGCAGTTCGAGTCCCGGACCTGGTGGCTTAAACTCACACTGGGCATGTGTGCATGTGTGCCCAAGATCCTGACAGGAGAATGGAGAAGGGATTACAGCGTGACCATCCCCCCTCGGGGGGGGGGGGGTTTTCTTTTTTTTTCTTTATTACAGCGTGACCATCCCCCCTGGGGGGGGGTGATTTCTTGATTTCTATCTCTCTTTCTGGCGAGCGCATGCACCCCATAGCAAAAACCTCTCCAAAAAAAACAGAGAAATTTTCAAAGCATGTCAGTCTTCCCCACCAAGGCATTCTGCCTCTTTTCCCATAGCACCTACCAATTCATACGTGTAACTCTTGTTTTCGGTGCTTTGCTTTATATACTAGCTGATTTAATTCTCGACATCTCCATAGGCAAGTATTACTAGAACGCTTATTTCGCAAAGACACTGAGACAGAGAAGTTAAAAAATGTGCCCAAGATCACGGACTTGGTGTGGCAGGCCCCTTTACCTGCAGTTGTGCATGCCATGGTTTCCGTTATCTGTGGCCAACAACAGCAGGAAAATACTAAATGGAAAATTCCACAAGTAAAGTTTTAAATTGCACTTCCCTCTGAGTAGCCGAGGAAATCTCGGCAGTCCTGCTCCATCCCACCCCTTTCCTCAGTGCGTCCACACTATGTACGTGAATCTCGGGAGTCACCTAGTAGCTGCCTCGGTCATCAGATGGGAAGAACATAGTGTATATAAATATAAGGTTTGAGACTACCTGGGGTGTCAGACAGCCACTGGGGGTCCTGGAATGTGTCTTCCAAGGACAACGGGGGAGGGTGATGGTAAAGGGACCCAGGAACCAAACCCAGGCTGCCTGGCCCAGAGCCTGAGTGTCTAACCTCTCCTAAGAGTGATAATGAACATTTGCTGACTATAGAAAAACACGGAGCTTTGGGATAGGCTTTGCAGAACCCAATGCTTAAAGTGCTATGTTTTGGAACCGTTTCTTCTATCACCACCCAAATACAGCACTTAGCTCTCCAAATTTCCCCCAAAAAGGGTCAAAAAACATCCATAATCCACAACAGGTAAGAATGTAGCATACTTACTAGATCCAAATATGTTCAAGTCTTTACATTCTTTGATATTGGCATCACTGTCAAAGTAGATTTTGATTTTGCCACTGTGAGCTTTATTGTCGAAGATAATCTGGAGACACAAATGTACAGAGAGGTTACAGCCCAGCAGAAAGTATAACTTGTCAGATCAACTCTGCTCAAAAGGAAAAGTCAGTGGCAGGCCAGCAAGTGACATCCTGGTGAAGGCGTTGGATCTCACACGGCTGACTCCATGATTCGAGTCCTGGACCTGCAGCTTGGAAAACACCAGGTGGGTCTGTGCGCATGCCCGAAGTCCCAAGAAGATAGGAGAAGGGATTGCGGTATGGCCATCTCACCTGGGAAGTGGTTTCTCACTTTCCCCCTTTCTCTGTCTTCCCTGGCAAGCACGTATACCCTATGGCAAAAATCTTAAAAAAAAAAAAAAATCAATGGCATTCAGCTGACCCAACCATACTGATAAAAATGTCCTCGTCATGGTGTTTCTTCATCGCCTTCTATTATTAATGAACCCTAAATCCATGATTTTCAATCTCTGGCTAAGAGAAATCCTACAGCAAAACAGTCGACCAGTCCCAGGAACAAAAAAAAAAAAAAACAGAATTCACCAGTTTTGCCAAGAAAACACAATGACCTCATTTATCTCACTGAACGGATTTCGAAAGCATTTCTTTCAATGTAGTCCTTCGGGTATGGAATTCTAGGTTCTTACCAAGTTGGAAATCTTTCTTGTTTGCTTCAAGAGCTACGTATAATACTTCTAGAAACCACCAAGGTTACGCCAAGGCTGCAGGCCGAACCGAGGACGGCAAATGCCTCGCTCGGCCCAGCATGGGACTTAGGTCAATCATTCAGTCACTGGAAGTTTCCAGTGCTGTATTATGCCAGGTAGAACACATTCCGAAATCCAAAACCATCACGGGCCATGAGCCCGGGAGCGGAACGGCCAGGTGACCACCCCTGCATGCACCTGCACATCTCTGAGCTCACGCCAAGTCCTGTGGACTTCTAAAACTTAACTACAGCCAAACCAGGGGCTCGAGAACGAAACCGTTCCGGCCTCATCTCTGTACTGACAAGCTGTGACAAACCCTCCACTAACACAGTCACTCGCAGTCTCTGCTTCCCCAGGGAAGCCCCTAAAAGACTTCTCTCGAGACTTTAGAACTGTAAGCTGATAGAAGTCCAAAGAACAAAGCGAAAAGAAAGAGCCAATGTTTTAAGCCCACAGCTGACCATGACATGACAAAGTCATCAACGACCTCGTCCTAGCAACCCCACTCCTCCACACTCCTCTTCTGCCTCTTCGCCCACTCTAGATGCTCCCAGGGCTCCTGGGGGGGAGGACCCTGACCTGGGAAGGTGGGCCATTCTTCCGGACCACATAGCACAGTCCAGCACTACAGTTATGTACGTACGCATGTATGTATGTCTACTCGTCTTTCTGTCTGTGTGCCCCCTTATACCCACTAGGCTGTAAGCTTCCTGAAGGCCTCTGTCCCTCTTGGGCATAATAAGATGCCTGGTGCATAGTAGGGACTCAAAAGTATTTATTGATTGTGGTTGAATGAAATAGTCTTCTAAATTGCTACAATATACAACTTTCAGCTAAGTGTTCTGGTTAGCTCCTTAACAAGCAGGAAGAAAAGGGAAAGGGAGGAAAGGAAAGAAAGGGGGAAAAAAGGGGGGGTAAGAAATTCCATGAAAGCAAGAAAAAAAAAGATATTTCACGAAATACAGCTTATTCTCCCGACAAAGGCAAACAGTTCTTCAACTGCCCACGTTCCCTCCCACGAAGGGAAAAAGACTACTCCTTTGCAGACTGGCCTTCAGGTCAAGGAAACAGTTTCTGCCTCCAGCTTTGAAAACATGTGCTTCAACATTTGCAAAGATTCCTTTGATGCTAGGAAAACCACTGTAGATACGTGAGACATTTGTCATAGGGCCAGCCCATGGCCTAGTGACTGAGGGAACTGGATCCCACATAGCTGACCACAGTGTGAGGTGGCTCCAACAGCTTGAGAAATATGCTGGGCATGTAGGTGTGTGTGCCCAAGATTTCAACAGGCTGGAGAGATGGAGGAGAGGGGATTGCAGCATGACCGCGCCCCACCAGGGGTTGCTAGCTCCCTCTCCCCCAGCCTCTCCACTTCCTCTCTCGTGAGTGCACCTCTGGCCAAAAAAACAAAAACAAAAACAAACCAAAAAACCACTCATCATAAAGGTCTTTTTGTTAAGCATTAGGAGAAAATGAGCTCAGAACTAATTTTGGAAATTTTTCTTTCAACTCAGTAATCTATCTTTAAAAACTGGGAAGCGGGGGCTGGTAGATGGTGTAATGGTCACGTCCCTGGGCTCCCACATGTTTGAACATGATTTGGGTCTCTGATCCGGTGACTTCAAACTCACACTGGGTGGGTGTGCATGAGTGCCCACCTAAAATCCCAAGAGGAGAACGAAGGAAAAGGGATTGCAACGTGGCCATACCCTCTGAGGGGGTGATTTCCTGCTTTCTATCTCTCTGTCTCTTTTTCTCTCCAGTGAACTCATGTACCCTATAGCAAAAAAAAAAGGAAAGGTCTTGCTTCTTCTGAAGTCATGGTCTCTGGGTCAATGATAGCATACAGTATCATGAAAATCGTTTTGAATACAAGTACATCTAGCACATCTATAGGCTGTGTGTTTTATACTCTGGATCTACAAAATAAGTATGGGGAAATAACAGAAAGTGGCTCAGTAAAACAAAGACACTTGCCGTATTCTGAAAGATGTAACAGTCTGGTAACTCGCGGGAGTGAATCGTCTGCAGATCGATACCTTTGAGGTGGAAGGAGATTTCAACTTGTAGGAGCCTAAATAAGACACGTTGAAAGGAATAAATTGGCAGTCTTATCATACTCCCCTCCTCCCCTCACCCCTGCTCTCTGGGAAATAAGACTTGAAAATGTATTTACCGATAAAATTCCAGTCTGAAGAATGATGAGTTCTTCCAGTCCTGAGGGTTCCTGGAGAGGGTCTGATGGTCTAAGTGAACACAATCTAGAGCAATGAAGGAACACAGAATGATCGTTTCAGACGAAACCAGATGCAGTTTAATCAGCCAGAACTGGCCTAGGAGGGGAAACCCAGTCCCAACTGTCGTGTAAGCTTACTGGCAGGATGCATGTACCCAACAGAGCTGACCCCAGCAGGTTGGAATGAAAATGTGGTTGGCAACAGAATGAAAATAACAGGACCTACTTCCAGAGAATGAGATCAGAAGCGGAAGATGCCCTAAATCCTAGGACTCGATCCCTAACTCACCAATCCCAAACTGGCAAACATCACTCATAACGCCTCCTGCTCCTTGGGCTACAAAAGACCCTTCCACCCTTTGGTGATCAGAGAAGCAGATCTGAGTTTCCCTCCTGCCTCCTTGCCAGCTGACTATGCAGTAAAACGCTTTCTTGCGTCAAGCCCTGGTGTCGTAGTGATTGACATCTGTGCTCATCAGGCAAGGGACCTGCATGTTTGGTAACACCAGTAATTAGATAAACAGACATCAGACACCTACTGATACAAGGTACTGAGACAGACATGACATCACTTGTGTATTCCTGCCCAGAATGTACGACCTCATCTAGTCGTGAAAAAATAAAAAGCTCCAAAGTGAGGGTCGGGAATTCTACTCTTTAAAAACGTCGAGGTCTGGGGCCAGCAGGTGGCATGGTAGTTAAGGCATTGGTTTCCCATATGGCTGACCATGATGTGAGTCCCAAACTTGGCAGCTTAAAAATCATGCCAGGTGCATGGTCATACGTGCCCAAAATTCCTGAGAGGAGAATGAAGAAGAGATTGTGATGGGCCTATCACCCCTGGGGTGATTTCTCACTTTCCCTCTCTCGGGTGAGTGCACATGCCCCATGTCAAAAACCAAAAATAAAACAAAAAGTCAAGGTCATAAAAATTAAAAACAAACAAACAAATAAAAACAACAGAGGAACTGTATCTTGTTCCAGATTAAAACACAATGAAAAACATGACAACTAAATGCAAAATGTGGTCCTAGAAGGGATGTAGGGGAGCAGTTTTTCTTTTGCTATACAGAACATTAAAGGCAAGAGGCAGTGCAGTGGTTAAGGGAGCCTGATCCCACGTGGCCAAATGCGATGCAAATCCTGGCCCTTGAGAAATACACTGGGCACATATTCATACATGCCCGAAATCTTGATGGGCTGGAGAAGTGAAGAAAAAACTTCTGTGGTGTGACCACATCCCATTGGAGGTTCGTTCTCCCCCTTCTCTGCCCCATAAGTGCACATACCCTTTGGCAATTAAAAAAAAAATTAGGACAACTGATGGAATGTGAACAGGATTTGCAGACTGCGGTGCTGTCCTAATGTTAACTGATCGCTGTAAGCACTGTGCAGTATTTTGTAGGACAATGTTACTGTTTTGGGGAAATGCACACAGAAGTATTCAGAGATAAAGAAACAGTAAGTCTGCACCTTCGGGAGAAATATTTATACATAGGGAGCCTGAGAGAGAGTTGGAGATGCTACCTGCTTCCGTCTGTTATGCAGACCCTGCCCAAGGCGCTGCCACTATAGATGACCTGGAGGATCTGGTGTATCAGGAGAAGCTGGCTGAGCAGGCTGAGCTATGTGGTGGGAAGCATCAAGCACCAGACAGTCAGCTACAGAATGGTGGGCCCTCGGTTACACATGTGAGCAAGAAGAAGACCGTTGTTGCATCAAGTCGCTGAGATTTGGGGAGTAATTTGGGTTCCAAGCACACCTATCCTATCCTTTGGAAAAATGGAACTGTCACTTACGATTGAGGACTGTTAAAAATTGGGCAAATGATTTGAACAAATAGTTCTTAACAAGAGACATGCAAATGGTCACCAGGGAAATGCAAATCAAAACCACACTGAGATATTATCTTATTCCAGTTAAAGCAGCTGTTATCTGAAAGGTGAAAAATAAATGTTGGTGAGAATGCAGAATATGGTGTACTTTGTAACATTGTTGGTGGGGTTGTAAATTAGTATAGTCATTATGGAAAACAGTATGGAGCGCCTTCAAGAAACTAAAGAACGGTCATATGTTTTAGCAGTTCCTCCACTGGGCATGTATCCAAAGGAAAGGAAATTAGTACTATAAAGATATCTGCTCCCCAATGTTTACTGCAACACTATTCACAATAATCAAGAGTCAGAAAACTGTATATACAAGTGTATATATATGTATATACACAATGGAATACCATGCAGCCATCAAAAGGGCAACATTCTGTCATTTGAGTCTGAATGAACAGTTCTGGAGGACATTATGCTAAGTGAACTATGCCAGACACACAGGAATGGCGCATATGTTCCCTCATACATAGGATTTAAGGGGAAAAAAACAACGACCTCGTGGAAGTACAGAGGTGTCAAATGACTACTGGATCTCGAGTAGGAGGGTGAGCTGCACTAGAAGGATGCTGATAAATAAAGCAAAATCACTGACAGAAGGAACAATGCCTAATGTTATAAAATATGATGGGGGGGAATGCGATCACCACCTTACTGCTGAATGTGTTCCAGGTGGCTGAGATGATAGGGATACTACTTATGCTGATGTAATCATTACACATTGTGATACTGTATTGAAAACCACATTGTTAGCAGTTGCAATGTTAATAAATTATTAATTTTTTAAAAAGAAATATTTATACATAGGAAGAATGATAAAGCAATCATGATAAAAATGTTGGTATCTGGGAAGTCTGGAACGGTATATAGGAAATTTTTGTGTTTGTAACTTTTCCATTAAGTCTAACACTTTTTCAAGATAAAAAGAAAGAAGGATCAAATTGTATTTGAATTAGGGACCAGCAGTTAGCGTAATGGCTATGTCACTGGACTCCTATGTTGTCGACCGCAGTTCAAGTCCCGGACCTGGTGGCTTAAACTCATGCCGGGCACGTGTGCGTGCGTGCCCAAGATCCCGAGAGGAGAATGGAGGAGAAGAGATTGCGGCTGGGCCACCCCCCCGGAGGGTGATTTCTTGCTTTCTGTCTCTCTGTCTCTCTCTGTTTGTCTGGCGAGCGCATGCGCCCTATAGCAAAAACTCTCAAAAAAGAACTGTATTTGAATTAAAACAAAATGATAAGCTATAAATTATAAAAGAATGATTCCAAGAGCTTGCTATAATAATTAGTCTCATTGTGGAGTCCAGTACCTTTGCTTTACAGGGCAGAAAACCAGAGGTCTAGAGATGAGTGCCTTTCAAGTCACAAAGACCTAATGACAGCACTGGAGTGAAGCTGGCCTGGTGTCCCTCCCTAGAGGTGCTCTCCTGTGTTACCTTTGAAATGGGAAGATTGGGATCTAGTGTAGTCCTGGCACTTGGTAGGTGCTCAAGAATCAGGGTAGATTCAATGGCCAATTCCTTGCGAGTGTGATTGCACAATTATAACTCTTCATTTCCTTATCTAACCCTCCAACTAGAGTAGAGGGTCTTTGACAGCTAGAGCTCAACTCTGCTTCACGTTCTTAAACACTCCCTGCCTGGCAGATAGTTGACACTCAAAGTATGTCCTGCAGGCAGCACTGGTCTGCAGCAGTAATTCAATGCTCTGTGATGCTGGTCCCATGTGGGAAGGACCTGTGTTCACATCCATGAGTTTCCCTGTACATGCCCAACACACATGTGTGCATGTGTCTGAGATCCAGGCTGGCTGAGACTGGGGGTGGGTTATGACGGGAAGACTCTGTTGGGATGTCTTTCTTTCTCCTTCAGCCTTTCACTCTCCCGTGGAAGACATAAGTAAACTATATACATGAGGCACACTTACATTTAGTGAAAATTAGTCATTCTGGGTCCAAATCAGGGACACAGAGCTGAACAGACAACTCAACGGGCATAACATTTAAGTTAGGTAGATTTCAGACCATGTGTCCCTGTGTTTGGCAAATGGAATATTAGTGCCACGAAACAATTTGGGGACCAGCAATTAGCGTAATGGCTATGTTGCTGGACTCCCATGTAGCCAACCACGGTTTGAGTCCCAGACCCAGTGGCTTAAACTCACGCCAGGCGCATGTGTGCATGTGCCCAAGATCCCAAGAGGAGAATGGAGGAGAAGGGACTGTGGCGTGGCCATTTCCCCTGGGGGGCGATTTCTCACTTTCTGTCTCTCTCTGTCTTTCTGGCAAGCGCACATGCCCTATAGCAAAAACCTCTTCAAAAAAAAAAAAAATGAAAAGAAAGGAAATAATTTGATGTTTGTTTTCCGACTGTACTCTGATTACTATAGTGAGGGCAGTTAATCAAAATTAATTTTCAGACAGGAAATGGTAGATGATGACAAAAAATGGTAAAAAGCATACCGGGCACTTACTCCATAGCAGGCTCTGTGCTAAGGGCTTTATATGCTCTCTCATTTACTACATCCTCCTATTTAGTCCTCGAAGCAACCCGTGAGGTAGGTACTATCGGTGCCATTTTACAGACAGCAAAACAATACATAGAGAGGTCAAAAAGTTCTTCGAGGTCACACAGCTAGCTGGTGGTGATCCAAAATTTAAATCCACTTGTGCTCAGTTCTAGAACCTGAGCTCTGCACTGCTGAGGCTCACCTTTGAGCAGGTAATTCAGAGACTGTCAAAGACCAAGGCTCCCTACCTGACTCACATATTCAGTATGTACTTGCTCAAAGCTAGACATTGTGCTAGGCACTGAAGATAGATCAAAGCAGACATGCTCACTGCTTTCATGAACTCACATCCTGGGGGGATAACAATACATTATATGCACGCACACACACACACACACACACAAACACACACACACGGCCATTTCCAGTGTGAGAAGTACTATGAAGATAAAGTGATCAAGAATAACGAGGTTGGGGAGCTCTATCTAGGGAAGGTGGTCAGGGTGAGACAGGTAGGAGCTCTCTCGGAATCAAAAGTAAGGTGTCATTTTAGTCCTCTTTCTGTAGGATGGACCCAAATTGCAACTAGGAACCTGACCGCAAGCACAAACAAGAACAGGCCAGTAGCAGAACGAGCAGCAGTCAAGATGGAGGACCAAAACTGACGTAAAGATAAACGATGCCTTCTTCCCATACTAAAAATCCTACCCTTAGGTGGAGACGGAAGATGCTAAAGATGAATGTGATGTATGAAGACGCATGGCCAGCCACCATGCATGGGCCGAGGAAAGCCCTCCTGTACACACTGTGGTCTTCCATCCTCCTGCCCCTACCCGGATAAAGACCGCAGGTGTTCCGCCTGCAGGGAGACCACTGGACTCTCTCCCGCTGTCTCCCTTGTACTCAAAGATACACCTCAATGAAGCCTTTCCTGGGTTTCTCCACCTGTCAGGCTGAGTTACTTTCTATTCTCTCAGCCCCCAAATCCTGCACCTGCAACAAGGGAATGACTCTCAGAGTGCTGAAAATGTTTGAACTAAAAGCTTTTTTCTGAAGAAAAAAGAACCAGCTCTGTATAGATCCAGGGAGTGTGCTCTGGGTATGAAAAAAAAAAAGAAAAAAGCACTAAGGCCTCCTGGCAGGGAAGAGCCTGGCTCATTCAGCAATTGCACAGAGAGAGATAGAGACAGCGTCTGCAGGCTTGGAGAGGCAGAGGGTGGCCACTCCAGTAGAGATTTATGAATTTTACTGAAGTGAAATGAGGGTCCGGGAGCTGAAATGTGGGAATCCGGCATATTAACCACCACGCCACCTGCTGGCCCCAAGGAGTCACAGATCCTGAACTGGAAAGCACTGAATGACTGGCTCAGGAATTTCACGTGTATGGATCACATCAGGATGTGGCTAAGGTCACACGTGGATTCATTAGCCCGAGGGTGGGGCCTGAGCTTCTGCATTTCTCACGAGCTGCCAGGAGATCGTGCTGCTGGTTGCTGAGCAGCCAAGACCTCCTGCCACCGAGTCATTACAATGATCTCAGCTTAGCTTCTAAGCTTGACTGAGCATCGGTTTCCTCTACTGTAAAATAAAGGCCAAGCTGATAATACTGAAGGCGCCTCTACCTCTAACAATCTTATTTTAAGGTGAAATAAAAACAATAAAACCGATCTGAGTAAATGACTATATTCTCAAAGCAATAACATGTTCAAGAGCTAAGTCCCAGATCCTTCCTCTCCTCTATTTCATTCACTCTAAGATGCATATTTTTCATGTATGAACATCTCTAGGGACTAGGCTGTGGAGAAGAAACAGGCAGCTGGACCCCTGGGAAGGGTCCCTGAGTTCATGTCCTGTGATCCTGGCTGGCTGAAACAGGGTGGATTGTGGCAGGAGGACACTGTTGCAGGAACCAGTCTCTCTCTCCCTCTCTCTCTCTCTCTCTCTCTCTCTTTCTTAAAAGAAATAAACACAAGACTTTGAAACCAAAAAACCTTCTAAATCAAATGAGTCACTAAAAAAATTAATGGCATTTTAGATTCAGAGAAATATGAAAAAAATTTTGTTAGTTTATCCAGTCCCAGACCTCTCAGCTTAAAATTCACACTTGGCGTGTATACATGTGTGCCCAAAGTCCCGAGAGGAGAATGGAGAAGGGACTGCAATGTGGCCATCCTCCCCTGGGGGGTGATCTCTCATGATCATGCTCTGTTTCTCTGGTGAAGGCATACACCCTGTGGCAAAAATCTCTCTAAAAATGTCACTGATGATAAAGGTATAAGCACCGGTGGCAGCAAAACTTAGATTAAAAAAAAAAAAAAGATGGCAAAAGCCCTAGGTAAAACATCAAACACCAAGCAGAACAAACTACTATCTAGAACGACGGCCTCATTACTCAGCTGAACCTCACTGAAGTCAAACTCAAGTCCCGTTGATATTATCTGCAGGTTTTCTTCAACATGTCCAAGGCAAGAAGACTGGGCAAGCCCCATCGTCTCAAGGTTGAGGGAGCCAAATTCCACATGTCCTACTGCAGTTTGAATCCCAGCTCCAGCGACTTGAGAAACACACTAGGCATGCCAAAAATCCTGACAGGAGGAAGCAGTGGAGGAGAAGGGATGGCAGTATGACTACACTCCGCTGAGGGGTGATTTCTCCTTCTCTCTCTCTTTCTCTCTCTAGCAAGTATTCATGCCCCCTAGCAAAAAAATTTAAAGAAAAAAAGATAATAAAGAAAAGAAATCCTAAAGTCCGCTGCCAACTATTTTCAAAATCATCTTTAAAATATCTTGAAAAAACTGCCAGAGGTAGGTAGCATGTGCTCAGCAGAGGGAGACAGGCAGGGGGAGGGAGAAGGCACTGCTGCATGGGCATAGACGCACTGCGGTCCCTTCCTCTCCATTTCTCAGCCTGTTGGGATCCGAGACGCACATGCACACATGCCTGAGCGTTTTAAGCTGCCATGTCAGGGTTTCAGACTGTGGTTCAACAGAAGGGATCTAGTGCCACTTAACCACTAGGCCACAGGTTGGCCCTAAAACGCCTTTTAAATAAGATACATCAAAAGATGCTCTTTGTTGAGTTATATTTAATAAGTCAAAGAATATAATTAATCGGCTGAAGCAATCACTCTTTAAGTCAAATTAATCATCTCCCTCCACTGAGTTAAAAATACTCCATTTTCTGTCAGAAGGAAATGAACAAGAGCACTACTGTCCACTGGTCAAAAATAAATCCTGCTTTCCAGTTCCGCCCATCCTACCTAGCCACTGATATTGACTTTGGCCACCCTTCTTTAATACATTTGCCAAGAGAAATCAATTGAGCCAAACAGCATATGAAGCACTGGAAAACAGTTACACGGGGGCATCCAATTTGAGCCACATTTTTAAAAGGGCAAGTGTCAAATGGCTTATTGGAAGCAGCTGGTGAATGGACAAGCTCCAGGGCCACCTATAAAGCCCTCCTATCACAGTTACAGGAATCACCCTCAGGGAGGAGCAGAGCTGCTGACCCGAAATAAGATTAGGCCCTGCAGGCAGACTAGTGCTGGAGCTCAGGAGAGCAGAAGCCTCCAGGGCAATAAGCAAAGTCATATCGGAAAGTTCCCGGCTACAGAATGAGGCAAAGGTCCTCCAGAGGGTCTCCGAAAGCAGCCGAGGAGCCAGACACTTCCTGGGACCCTGACGGGTTGGCTTATGGGCTGCTGCTTTCAGAGACAAGACCATGGGACAGAATTACTCATGGAGAGAAACAGAACTCTGAGGAAACAAATGAAAACCTCTGTCTTACCAGAGTGTTCTCCTGTTACTGAGGCATCTTAAGACAGATTGCAGGATCTGATCAAATATGGTTAAATGAACTGTGTGACACTCTGATTTTCAGAATCATTCCAGATTGAAACTGTTCCTAGGATCCCTGATCTTGAACTGTTAGCTACACGAGGACCCAGGATCGAATCATCTTTGTAACCCCAGTACATAAAACAGCGAATTTCTTGGGCATAGTGTCTATATCCCAGAGGTTTGTGGGATGAATGACAAAATACAAGTCTTAAGTCAAACACTTAAGACTGTTTATCTATAATGCACTTTAAAATTCTTAACACAATGGCACAATATAATTCTACCTGATTAGCTATTAACTTTTTGTCAAGTGAGTTCTTAAAAGAGAAAACGAGTCACTAATCACGATTCACTTTTAAAGAGAATTGACATATTTTTCTAATAGTAAAACAAGTACACAACATTCTATACATTACATGCATTATTTCATTTAACATGTACACATCCATTTTTTCCCCATATAAATCCCACCTCCCCCTTGCAAGAGGAAAATACCTAAATCAACAGGAAACACCTGTGCATTTGTCCCAAAGCCAGCTGTCTTGAGGTATACCAAAGGGACCCACAGATGCTGGCCCTGTCCCATTACCAAAACCCATGGTTCTCAGTCAAAGCCCTGTGCAGACACATGTTCAAGGGACAGCCTCGAACAGGTTAGCTTCCGAAAGCAAAGCTGCTCCGCTCGCATTGCTAGCTAGCTCACGACGGTAGTTTCACTATCACCACAGAGGACGATAAAGGCCTAGGAGCAAACCACCACCGCATTACCTAGCTCAGTGTCGCTGTCAATATTCAGGGTCTCATTGGAAGGAAACATGGTCCCTTTCTTGTAATGCTGCTTACAGACTTTGATGCCGATTCTATTGTCTTCATTTTCTCCATAACCAAGGGTCCCCAGTGAAATGTCCTTGAGACGATGATACTATTGGAAGACAGGGAAATAAAAACACACATGAGCTTTTCAGGTTTGATCAGGAGTTATAGCCTATGGAATGCATTTTTAGCTACTTCATACTGTTTACAACCCAGCCTACGGCATGACTTCCCAATTTAAAATACGATCAACTGATTTTCTCAGGTTGTGTAGGAACACACTGGCTCACAGAACTCAGAATTAAACACGTTGACAGATGGCTCCCATCTCACTCAGAGCCAAAACCAAGGTGTGGCCTTTTCTCTCTGCCTTGTCACCTACTACTGACTTTTGGCTCCACTCTCCTGTCCCCCTAAACCATACTGGCCTCCAGGTGCTTTGGGGAGTTTGCCAGACATACTCCTGCTCCTGCTCTTTGCTAATCCCTCTGCCTAGAAACCCAGGTATCCAGCCTATTACTCATCCCTCAGGTCTTAATTAAAATATTACTACTCACAGACCAGCAGATGGGGTAATGGTTGCGTCACTGGACTCCCACATGGCTGACCGTGGTTTGAGTCTCAGACCTGGTGGCTTGAAACATGCTGGGCATGTGTGCATGCATGCCCAAAATCCCAAGAGGAGAATGAAGGAGAAGGGATTATGGTGAGGCCATCCCCTAGGGGGTAATTTCTTGTTTTCTGTTTCTCTCTGTCTCTCTGGTAAGCTCACATACCCTTTAGCCAAAATCTTAAAAAACAAAAAATGACCTCAATGAGATCTTTGCTGATGAAGTCAATGAAAATTGCAAACATACATCATAACATCAAATAGGACACCATAAATATATTATATATACAATTATTGTCAATTAAATACAAAATAATAAAATAGAAATAAAAAATACAGAAAATCACAAATATCCATCACTAGGCCCAGGCAATCTCCATCTCCCTCCTTGCTTTATTTCTTGGCAGATAATTATTTCTGGACCTAACAGAGGACCCACACCTCCCACACCCCACAATTTATCTCGACACAGCTAACATTACCTTATGTTACCTTGCATCAGCTGACATTAACATGACCTTGCTATTTGGCCATCTGTGCTATCAAGGTTTTACTGGCACTCATCTTCATTCGTATGACTTTACTGGGGCCAGACAGTGGTGAAGTAGTAGCTCAACATTCTGTGATGTTGGACTCACATGAAAAGATCCCAGGTTTGGGAACCAGCAGTTAGCGTAATGGCTATGTCGCTGGACTCCCACGTAGTCGACCACGGTTCGCGTCCCGGACCCGGTGGCTTAAAACTCACGCCAGGCATGTGTGCGTGCGTGTCCAAGATCCTGAGAGGAGAATGGAGAGGAAGGGATTGCAGGGTGACCATCCCCTCTGGGGGGTGATTTCTTGCTTTCTGTCTCTATGTCTCTGTCTGTCTGTCTGGCGAGCGCACACGCCCTATAGCAAAAGCCTCTCAAAAAAAAAAAAGATCCCAGGTTCGTGTCCTGAAACCTCCCTGTATATACTGGGCACACACACACGTCTGGCAACCCAGCTGAGACTGGGGGCAGGTCGAGGTGTGAAGACTCTCTTTGGGGTACATGTCTCTCTTTCCTCTTGGCAGAAACAAACAAACAAATAAATAAATTGTGTGTGTGTGTGTTTATGATATACATGACTTTACTATTCTGGGAAACTTTTGCGCAAGAACATAAAACTTGCACATAGCTGAATTGTCTATTTCATGAACATCCAAAAAATGCATTTAAATCAATACTAATTTGAAGATGTAGCCGGATTAATATCCAGGACTATTAAAAATTGCCCCTCTTCATATTGCTGTGACCCCAGTCCTAAACTATTATATCATGATGTTTATACAGTTCTAGTCAAGCTCTTCCACACTGAAGGACTCCCTCTCAAAGCACTGCTGAGACTGGTCAAGGTGGCGTCGCTCTCAATCACTATAAGCAATAAACTCAGCTTTGCTTATCAATATGATTTTGGGGTGGTGTTTTGATACCATACACTGCCCTTCTCATCTGTCTGGCTCTTCCCTCTATAAATAAGCTCTGTAAAAGCAGTTTTTACCTGTTTCAGTCACTGCCATATCCTCAATGACTAGAATAGTGTCTGCTACATATTAGGTACTTGAAGATTTAGTGAGGGAATGAATGAAGAAGGAACATGGGACCAGCAGGTGGCATAATGGTTACATCACTGGGCTCCCTCGTAGTCGACTGAGGTTCCAGTCCTGGACCTGAAGGCTTCAAACTCACACTGGGTGCGTGTGCGTGCGTGCCCAGGATCCTGAGAGGAGACTGGAGGAGAAGGGACTACAGTATGGCCATGATTTCTCACTTTCTGTCTCTCTGGCGAGTGCATGTGCCCTACAGCAAAAAATCTCTCAAGAAAAGAGAATATGATGATGAAGATGATGAAGAAGAAGAAACAATAATAACAGTTTCTTTCACTTAAATGTTTTGTTCAAGTCTACCAATATGCCTTCTCATACTTTTCTATATGCATCTATGCTATATCCCAGATTCTTTTTTTTTTTTTTTTTTTTGAGAGGTTTTTGCTGGATCCCACAAGGCCAACTCCATGGTTTGAGTCCCAAACCCAGAAGCTTGAGAAACACGCAAAGTACATGTCTATGCATGCCCAAAATCCTGAAAAGAGAATGGTGAAGGGATTGTGGCTTGGCCATCACCTCCGGGGATAGCGGAGGTGGAGTGGGAAGTGATTCCTCACTTCCCCTCTCTCTGTCTCTCATTCTCTCTCCAGTGAGTGCATGTGCCATAAGGTTTGGGAACCAGCAGTTAGCGTAATGGCTATGTCGCTGGACTCCCACGTAGTCGACCACGGTTCGCGTCCCGGACCCGGTGGCTTAAAACTCACGCCAGGCATGTGTGCGTGCGTGTCCAAGATCCTGAGAGGAGAATGGAGAGGAAGGGATTGCAGTGTGACCATCCCCTCTGGGGGGTGATTTCTTGCTTTCTGTCTCTATGTCTCTGTCCGTCTGTCTGGCGAGCGCACACGCCCTATAGCAAAAGCCTCTCAAAAAAAAAAAAGATCCCAGGTTCGTGTCCTGAAACCTCCCTGTATATACTGGGCACACACACACGTCTGGCAACCCAGCTGAGACTGGGGGCAGGTCGAGGTGTGAAGACTCTCTTTGGGGTACATGTCTCTCTTTCCTCTTGGCAGAAACAAACAAACAAATAAATAAATTGTGTGTGTGTGTGTTTATGATATACATGACTTTACTATTCTGGGAAACTTTTGCGCAAGAACATAAAACTTGCACATAGCTGAATTGTCTATTTCATGAACATCCAAAAAATGCATTTAAATCAATACTAATTTGAAGATGTAGCCGGATTAATATCCAGGACTATTAAAAATTGCCCCTCTTCATATTGCTGTGACCCCAGTCCTAAACTATTATATCATGATGTTTATACAGTTCTAGTCAAGCTCTTCCACACTGAAGGACTCCCTCTCAAAGCACTGCTGAGACTGGTCAAGGTGGCGTCGCTCTCAATCACTATAAGCAATAAACTCAGCTTTGCTTATCAATATGATTTTGGGGTGGTGTTTTGATACCATACACTGCCCTTCTCATCTGTCTGGCTCTTCCCTCTATAAATAAGCTCTGTAAAAGCAGTTTTTACCTGTTTCAGTCACTGCCATATCCTCAATGACTAGAATAGTGTCTGCTACATATTAGGTACTTGAAGATTTAGTGAGGGAATGAATGAAGAAGGAACATGGGACCAGCAGGTGGCATAATGGTTACATCACTGGGCTCCCTCGTAGTCGACTGAGGTTCCAGTCCTGGACCTGAAGGCTTCAAACTCACACTGGGTGCGTGTGCGTGCGTGCCCAGGATCCTGAGAGGAGACTGGAGGAGAAGGGACTACAGTATGGCCATGATTTCTCACTTTCTGTCTCTCTGGCGAGTGCATGTGCCCTACAGCAAAAAATCTCTCAAGAAAAGAGAATATGATGATGAAGATGATGAAGAAGAAGAAACAATAATAACAGTTTCTTTCACTTAAATGTTTTGTTCAAGTCTACCAATATGCCTTCTCATACTTTTCTATATGCATCTATGCTATATCCCAGATTCTTTTTTTTTTTTTTTTTTTTGAGAGGTTTTTGCTGGATCCCACAAGGCCAACTCGGACATCACCTCCGGTGATAGCGGAGGTGGAGTGGGAAGTGATTCCTCACTTCCCCTCTCTCTGTCTCTCATTCTCTCTCCAGTGAGTGCATGTGCCATAGACAAAAATCTAAAACAAGAAAAAGATAGCAGTACGGTAGTCCCACCACCCTCTCTTTTGAGTATTTGGCACCATTTTGCTATTTCCCATGACTATTGGGTACACTGGAGCTTTTGTCTCCTGTGTGCTCCTGTCCTGGGGAAATTCTCTTAAGTTTGAGTTCAAAAGTCTATGGATTTTGACCTTTTTAATGCTCCTTTCTTCTACTGCCAAGAATGATCATCTGTTGGCATTAGAGTCCTTAAGATCACACCGCCCACACCTTTTCTTTTTCCCTCTGAAGAGTTACTCTTTATTTTTATTATTTTTTTTGAGAGGTTTTTCGCTATGCACTCGCCAGACACACAGACAGAGACATAGAGACAGAAAGCGAGAAATCAGCCCCTGGGGGGATGGTCACGCTGCAATCCCTTCTCCTCCATTCTCCTCCCGGAATCTTGGGCACACACACACACACACGCACCCAGTGTGAGTTTTAAGCCACCAGGTCCGGGATGCGAACCGTGGTCGACTACGTGGGAGTCCAGCGACATAGCCATTACGCTAACTGCTGGTCGGTCCCTAAATCCCAGATTCTTAAGATCCAACTAAGATTACTAATGCTAAGACATGAAAAGGATACCATAGGACCTTAGATTTGGTATCAAATTTTCATCAAACATTCAGAGATTATAAATATACTTTTGGCTATTTGCCTAAGGCAAAATAATCCTCCAAAACTAGAGAGGATGAATGAATAAAAAATATAAATCTTAAGAAAACAGTCATAATAGGCAAATTCTAGAGTGTAGAAATGCAGCTTTAGAAATAGCAATAAAATTTTTTTGGCAGACTATGCAAATTGTACCTTCGAATATATACATATATGCTTTATATATATGTTTTACATATATATAATATATATATGTAATTTTTATTTGTTTTCTAAGACAAGAAAGCCAAGTATCAATATATTCTTAATAGGTTGTGCAAAAAAACACTTACCTGATTAATAGCAAAAAAGATGCTCTCATAGGTGTCCTCTTGAGTATACACGCTGCAACTATAGTCATCTTCGTCTGTACCTGAATAGCCTTTCAAAAACAAGTGCTTGAAAGCAATAGTGTTGTCTTCTTTGAAAGAAACCACCAGCTGGTTACTTAAACCAAAACGAACAAGCTAGAAAAGAAAGCCAAATAGGAATACGTGAATTTAACCATTCACTGGGGAAGGAAAATGCTCTCTTAATATCATCAACCCTCACCTATAAATATCAGAAGGAAAACATCAATTCTCAGTTTATACTAACAGTAACAGTGCAAAATACCAGTCCCCCAAAAGAACAATGTCATTAAGCTACATAAGCAATTCAAGGCAGTATTAAATTGGAACAAATTACAAATCAATCAATTTGTCTTCACGAATTCAGTTGAAGAATTTGCCCCTAGATATTTGTACTAAAACGAAAACTCAAAACATATTAGGCAACAGAATATTGTTCTGATATATAGAGTAAAAGAAAATACCATATTAGTGAACAAGAAATTGTTCTGAGACATACAATAAAAGGGAACGGAAAGCATTACTTCCAAATCAATCGTGCCACATACATCACCCAAATATGAGCCCAACATACTGTGACAAAGTCCTCTCACAGTCTTGGATTTCACGTTACATTTCTCCCACCAGAACTCAGGTTGGCAGTATGGACTCCAACATGACACATACGAAATCATGGCTGATCGAGCATGTTGGAAACCAAGGAGAGGCTGAATGTTACTCTATGCAGTCCATGAATCTGAGTGAATGACAGAACTACGTATTGCAAAATAGGCCACAAAATTTGGGCAGAAAGGCTGCCAACAGTCACCAAACAACCAATAGCTGTTTGGTGGGTTATGTTTGTCATACCAAAAACCTGTATTTTCCTCTCCAGAGTGTGACAGTAGTGACGGTGTTTACGAAATCATTTACCTAGTGAACCTGTATTTCCTTCTCCAGAGCGTGACAGTAGTGATGGTGTTTACCTAGTAAAGTAATGATTTGTGTTTTACTGATTAATACTTAGAAATTACATATATGTGTGTGTGTATTTAAAGTCACAACCACGTTTTACATGGGGCTTTAATGATGTTTTTGAAAAGCGGCCTATGGGTGTGGCAGGTGGCATGGTGGTGAAGGTGCTGGATTCCCACATGATTGACTGTGGTTTGGTACCAAACCTGGCAGCTTGCTTTCTTCCTTTTCCCTTCTCTCTCTCTGTTTCTCTCTGGTCAAATGAAAAAGTAATAATAATAACAAATAGAATTAAACAAATAACCTTTTTTTAAAAAAGTGGCCCATGTACTTAAGCCAGCTTGGAGGTAATAGTTGTCAAAGGAATTAAAATATAGGAGTTCTTACATGAGGGCCAGCAAGTGGCATGGAGGTTAAAGTGGCTAGATCCCACATGACTGACACTGTGATTCGAGTCCTAGCCCCAGTGGCTTGAAAAACACACCAGGTACGTACGCATGTGTGCCCCAAATCCCAAGTGGAGAATTGAGGGGAGAGAATTGAGGCCATCATCTTGGGGAGGGGGTGATTTCTCACTTTTACTCTCTTTCTGTCTCTCTCTGGCAAGTATACATACCCTGGCAAACACCTAAAACAAAACAAAACAAAAAAGAATTCTTTCATGAAACTCATACCTTGTTTTCCTCTTCACTAATATCTACAAGCTCAAAGGATGTGGAAGGATAATAGGGCTCACTTTGCCTAAATTACATTATAGCCGTTCACTCTCACCAAGTATCTACCTGCTCCTGAAAGAACACCTACTTCTCCCTTCCAGGAAGTTGGGCCTCTAAGGGCCCTTTTCATCAGAAGTGAAAATGTTCATCTTATAACCCAATATACAAGGGAATTAGCCAGCACCAAAGTTTACAAGAGAACAGGAAACCACACACACATCCACTCTTGTGCAAGCGCTTCTCTATCTGCCACGTGCGCACACTTAGACACAAAGCCATAGCATGCTCTTAATGTCTTGCACCCTCACATATTCACACACGCACACTCATTCACACATGCCCACTCTCTCACACACCCATTCTCACACACACTCACTCTCATGTATGCCCACTCTCTTACACATACCCACTCTCTCAAATGTGCACACTTTCTTTTTTTTTTTTTTACTTTCTGAATATATATTGTACATCGTGTAAACAAACATGCAGAATAAGAATCCAGCACAGGCTAACTATTGTTTCCTAGGAAACCGGAATCTTCTTTATCAAAGCCCTGTAGTAAGAGAATGAAATACTGAGTAGGTTTGAAATGAAATGCAAGAGAGTAGGAGATGCAGAAATTTGAACGTCTTAATGATGGTGTTGTAGCAATGGCCTCAGAATTCCCTTAACGAATCAGAAACCAGGACAATCCATTAATCAATGATGTTCCGAGTCAAAAGTCTAAACTAGAAGTGATAAAGACACAAAACCAAAGATGCATTTTCCACTAAAACCATATGCAAGAATTTTAAGCTTTCTGTCAACATTCTGTACCAGCGCCTGCCCCCCTATGAAAGGAAGAAGCTTGGTCATGACTGTCCATCCCATCTCAAGGCTTCCAGTCTTTGAAGGAGGGTGTTTCCAAATGCTTCCCGGTAGGCAGGGCTGAGCGAATCCAACAGGGAGTAGACCGTCTCATGGTAGGGCGTCTGTTTGCTCACTGGGACCTGTTATATTTAATAGGCTCATGTCATTCCTCAAACAACAAATTGACTTGCTTACTATGTGGCCTATCCAGGTCCACTATTCTAGAATGAAGATGGAAGACCAACACCCCTATACTGGTCTCACCTGAGGCGCTGAATCGGTTAGCCAAAGACAGGTAAGAGAGTCTGATGAACCCAATAACTGTTCAGTCCTTCCACCTAAGACAGGAAGCCCATCATAGCTATGGGACTCTCCAATGACGGGTAAGGATGGACATATGGTTCCATAAATGACTCCAACCTAAGACAAGCATGATTCCCCCAGGCCTTTTCCTCATCTCTCAAATTAAAACAGAAAAGGAGGATATATGGGAGGCTGCGCACCAGTGAGTCTGCCGAGGTCATTTTCATGAGTCTCTTACTCTTGCCATCTTAGGCTCAGAGAGCAAACAATTACACAATGCCAAAGGCCACAGTTGGCTCCCCTTCAAAACCTCACCTTCAAAACCATACTATCCGGCACCTCATGATTGGTCCACAAAGCAACCAATCATAACCCACCTTTTACAATCCTTCATTTAACCAGTCACCACCCACCAACATGTATATAATCACGATCCCTGGCCCACAATTGCCAGACGACCCTGAAGACCCTGAAGAGTTAAAACACTGTGTCATCTCCATGTTGTAATATTGCAGCCGCTCATCCCATCTCTCACTCCTTCCCTCAGGAAACCTGTTCCACTGTCCTGCGGGTCAGGACAAGCTGTCCC